TTTTTTTTTTTTTTTTTTTAGAAATTAACATCGGAGACGCGCTCTCTGGGCTACTTTTTCACCGTTTTTAATTCGTGGCCTATTGCCTTACAGGAAAATGTTTTGGTGAAATTAATTCAACTGCAACCTCGAACCGAACGAGTCAGTGTTTACTTTCGAATTTATTTTGACTCTTTCTTAAAGCAGTAATTTTAACCATTTTTCAGCTCCATTGTACGTTTAGTGACTGTATTGCCTCATTATTCAAAACTAAAGTTCGTGCTGGAATCAGTGTTACGACTACGTTTTCTGAAGAGAGCGAAAATATGTTAAAGAATGTTATCTCCCTTAGTTCTCCAGGAGTCAAAGTGCCAGTGCTTAGTAACAGGTTTCTTTATTTGTTTACTCAGATTTTTTTTTTTATTTTTTTGATTGATATCAAGCGGTTATAATTCCAGGGCTTTATCGGGACTTTATATTGTTTTACGGTTGTGGTCGATTTCAGCTTTTGAGGAGGAAGAGAAGTTAGCGTATTCAAAAGATGCTGAAGAAGTACTTTCTGCTGAGGAAGATGTACAGTCTACTGAATATGATTACATGGCAAGCATTTATGAAATATGAGTTAAAATTAACTCGTTCAATTCATTTTCTTTTGATTTAAATGTCTTTAGTCATCATGTATGTTTTATAGGTCTTAATTGACTTGATGTTGTCTATTCTAAGTCGTCCGCGGCGTTTTCATCGTCCAGTAATCCACTATGTCTTTGCTAGTTTGCTTTCTGAGTTTCAGCTGGAGAATATTGAGCACATTTTTGAGGTATTTTTGATTTACAACATTGTTAGACATTTTTTAGATATTGTTATCGTATATGTTTTCGACCTTTAGACAATAAACGTGCCTGATGACGAACTAATGACATTGAAGGAGGATCAGGAGAGTGAAATGGAGGACGAAGAAGAAGCAAATTTGGATGAGCTATGTGAAATTGAAAGTAAAATTTGTAGCTGTATAAGCAAGGCAGTTGTTTTTCGTTATTATTTCTGTTTTCATTAATTATTGATTTATTTCTAAGGTAATGGTGAAAACGAGGTGGAGCGGCAAAGTAGTGACGATTTAGATCTGGGTGGAGAAGTGGACCCTAATTTAGTGGAAGATTTAAAGGTTGCGCTTGGTAAAGCAGTGGTAAGAGAGAAAGAGGACAGTGATGTAAATAAATTTGATTAATTGTTTGCTAAAATGATCGTACTTTGGCATTTCAATTCGCTTTACGGTGGTTTAGGGAAGCACGTCTTCTGATCTTAGTGATGAAACCATGTTTCGTTTGGATCGGGGTCTTGCGGAAGTCTTCCGGAAACAAAAGGGACACTCAAATCAGGTTGACGCAAACTTAGCCTCACAGTCTCAGCAATTCCGGTTGAAGTGTTTTGACTTACTTCTTATTGTTGCCTCCCACAAAGACTCTGGAAAATTGGCTGTTGTAAGCGTTTTTGTACAGTTCTTTATACTCATCTTGATCGGGTGGAGAAATCAAACTGATTAGGTTAATTGTTTTGGTGTTTATTTGGTTGAAGTATTGAAACCAGTTGTAGTCTAGGCACGTGCCTCTCGGAAAAGGAAGAAAATGCGTTGATTGGTAAATTCTTTTTATCTTTTGTGGAGATATAGCTGTCTGCTTTCACTATCTTTCAATTTAGGAAATGTTGCTGCCGCTGCTGGAGACCGGCCGCGAAGCTTTGCGGAGGAAGAATGGTGAAGCAGTGTTTGAAAAATCAAGAAGCTTATTGAAAATGATAATTAGAAATAAAAAGGTTAAAAAATTTACTGGGCTTTTTGCGAATTTAGAATTTTGAGCGAATTTTTTTGAACCTGCTGTTATAGGGTATTATTCCGGAAAAGCGAGCATTAAAACTTTTTAAAAAACTTGTGGATTCTTCTGCAAATGTGGTAAACCCGGTATTAAAAAATGAATTTGGAGATGTCGCTAGCTTTTTAGTAAGTACACATTTCAAGGATGTTCAACGGTGGATATTATACGCAACTATTGAACTTTGACTTATCAAAGGCTACTCAAATTGATTCTGAATTTACTAACCATTCTTAAACATTTGTACAAAGTGATATTTCAGTTCTCATCAGCTGTAAAAGCAAACAAATTAGAGTGCTCGGGAATGGTACTGAATCTCGAGGGACTGCTGGAAAGTTACATGGTCCTTGGTGATCAGAAAGTTCCTAGCGAGTTGATTTTTAAACCGCTGCAGTGTTATCCGGTATGTAAAGCTATATTTCTCTTAACTTTAAGTTTTTAACCACCTCTATTTTTTATTTCCAGAACAGTTGCATTACCTTTTTGCAAAAACTGATCGACTTTGCCTTCAACGACGAAGTCAGGATATTTAAAAGGGTATGTTATACGAAGAGTTGTAGTTTTTTGCTATTATATTTTGTTTTATTTGATGATTTTCCATGATCTGCATCTTTAGACTGAGGCTTTATCGTGTGCTTTGGCTTTTATGAGGAAGGATGTGGTTGGTTTCTCCTCTTTTCTTGAGTACTTTAGTTCGATATCGTAGAGTCATTTTTTAAAATTGTGTAGTGTATTGCAGTTTTTATTTTTGGCCTTAAATTTATTAACAATTGGAACAATAAGATGAAGGCTAAGTTGCTTATCTGAGCTTTTAATAAGTTTTTTTTAGTTACAAGATGCTGTAGAGGATAAGAAGAATTTCTGGAAACATTTTGCAAAGAGTTTAGGGTCATATGGTCGTGACTATGTTTCAAAACTTTCATTCGAGGAGCTAAAACCTCGTTTTTTGGCATTTTATATATGTCTTTCGACTAATTTTGCTAGGTTGTCGTCTGCAGGGGATAAGGTATGTTTGATTTTCGTTTTTTATTTTTAATAAGTAGAAGAATGGAAGATGTTGCCAACTTTATTTGCGCTAAATTTGGTATCCCAAATCGTTATGAAATTGGTTAAATAAGCAGTCCAAAGTGATTTGACTATGAAAAACAATTTTAAATGTCGAATTCTCAGTAGCTTTTAGTTTCGCTTAGGGGAAAATTTGTTTGATCCACCTCTCCAGTGCTGGACATGTATGCACCGTTCCACCATCTCGATCTCTTGAAAATTTTTGACGGTCATTTTATCAATGCTTTTTTTCTAGGTGGTGTACAGTGTGGATTTAAGAGGAGGGTTTAAAGCCAAAATTTGCTGAGCTATTTTTTTAAAGTTTTAAGATTTAGTGAGATAAAAGCTTTTATTGGTGCTGTTAGTTTAGTTCTTTTATTCGTTATTTTCTGTATTTATTGTCTTTAACATTCCGCTCTTTTTTTCTCTGCTTGTTGACTGCGATAAAATTAAATTGCAGGAGTTATTGAGAGGAATTCTTTTGGATGCCTTAAAGCTGTTTTTGGAACAGTATGAGACATGGGAAAAGACTAAGAGGAAAGAACGTCAAATTAATTTATACTTCAAGAAGATTTGTGGTCGGGGTATCAGTCAGTCTATTGCTAATTTGTGTAGAACATTAGGAGCATCAGACGGCAGCAAGTAATAGTGAAATTCTTTTGTTTTTTCGTTAGTGATTCAATCTTTTCAAAAGTTTATTATGTTTGACAATTCTATAAACGTCGGTCACGCTGTCATTAATTCTTCTGCACTATTCTTGAGCAGGGTTGGTCGCTCTTACTTTCACACTTACTGTGTTATAACTTCATAAGTGTTCACCGATTTTATTGGGAATAGTAGACTGTAATTTATAAGGAATTTATTTACTTTAAACATAGGCATACATATGAAGGCTAACACAGAGGTTTATTGAATGACTGTGATCCGATGTAATCTGCTTTTTCCAGTAAAATAATCCAATATATCGCATTGAAGATAAAGAACTGAAATTTGTTTTGGTTATCATTTTAACTTTTTATATTAATAAACTAGGTTATACATTTTGATAACTCATTTAACGGAAATAAAATTTGCCATTGTTTAAGCAATTTTTCTGGGTATTCTTTTTAACTATACTTTTGGGAAAAAATATTGACTTAGCATTGAGAGCTGCACTCTTTGAGGAGCAAATTAAGGTGTGCAGTATGTAGTATAAACTACTTTAGAAATATTGCTTGTCGGGTATTGGTTTCATATTACTGCTTTTGTAAGCTGTTAGTTGCCAGGTTTAGTCACACACTGGAACTTGCAGTATTTATAGAAAGATCTGATTTAATGTTGAATTTTTAAGGTTTTCAGTGTTTTTCTTCATTTCATTTTTTTGTGACAGTTGTTTCTGTTTTATTCATTTTGTAGTTGTTAGCTGTAGTGTGTCGGCATTTGTTACATTGTTACTTGTTGCTTTCTTGTTGCGTTCACTCACTGATAAAACTGGTACTTATAAGATTTGCAAGCAAATTAGAAAAGATCAAAAGCAAATTTTTTGAACAGTTATTTCTTTTCTGGGGTTGGCGAGTTCTGAACGCTTTAAGTTTGTTTTTTACGTATATCTTATACAGGCCTATGTTCACTTACAGCTGCTGGGAAGGCAAATCTTGAGTAGTAGTCGATGCGACTGTGCTTTAAGCATGTTTTATTTGGTCGATTGCCTATGATACGGGCCAAGGAATAGCGTGGCGCTTTTTGACAGGTGCAAATGTTGGCTGGTGTGTCTGAAAAATTACTGTTTAAATGAGTTAGATTTGGTGGTACTTGCGGGTCGTCGAAGTTTCTGACTTATTTTGTCATGTGGATGTAATAGTAGCTAATTGTGATATCTGATGCATACAATTTAAGATTTGGGCGACGGGGGTCTTAAGATGACCAATTGGGTGCACAAATTTACCTCGTAATAGATCAGGCGTCTGTGATGGATGGTTGCCGGTTTTTTGGTTTGACAGATTTTTTTTTTGCATATCTTCATTTTTTTTACGACAGTATGCAACACATGCATATTCGATGAGTACCATAACAACAAAGAAGTAACAACCACCCAGATAAACATCAACTGCCTAAAATAAGTATATAAAAGCGACTTGTTGATAAGTATTGTTTAATGTTTTGTTGTAGAGGTGTTTTAATTCAAAAATAAATAAATGAAAAATGAGAAATAAAAAATGGAAAAATAAAAGTTTAAGCACCAAAACAAATGTTAATATTCGATATAAATTCAAACAGTATCAATGGGACAACTACAGCGATATATAGGCTTATTCTAGTGTGATATAGCTATGATAGCCTCATTTTTAATGCATATTTTGTTGCTATTAGTTGCCATTTACTTGATTTCATAAACACAAGTGCGTATATAAACAGATACGCATACCTTTATGTAAGATACTGGTGGTAAACGTTTATTGGTACCAATCAACAGATGAGTTTCCGTGAGCACGGTCATGGTACCAATTGTTGTTCGTGACGGTGCTGAATCACTGCTAATCCAGAATGATATCCACGTTAAAATGACCACCATTGATGCCGGCAAATAAATTTGTATTACAGCAAATGCACTGTCACGATCAAGTGTTATCTGAAGTCGTAATCTCGAATAGACGCCTATAAACAGAAACAAGAACAAAAAAAGGAATTATTTGTTGTCAAGACATAAGATGAACGTATATAGAGAATTTAATGAAAAAAAATATTTGAGAACTTATAAGATATGTTTGTTTGACAGATTCCAAAGATCGCACCAAAGTTCTCTAATATTTTTTCGTTTTTGGCGCAAACTGGTTAATTGGTGTACTCTGTTTATAAGCCGTAAACGGTTTTTAGCTGTTTTACAGTGCCTCAGAATTGCTGAATTTTTGCTGTCAGCGATTTTTTTCACTGTATCAGACAGGAAAAGTTAGCAAAAAAAAGAGATCGATGTAACATACCGGAGGTAGTGGTAGCAATAGTTTTGTTAAGGCATACTGGACCAAGGCGATAATTTGGTAATGTGATGTTGTCAACGGCAATACGAATTGGTTCCGAGCAATTCGGTTGTGTTAATTCACACCAATGGTAATGAATATCATTTTTCGTGAAACCGTCTTAAAAAAAGTTTCTTAGTATAACAAAAAAAAAAAA